ACTTGAGTTTTGTGCATGGCGACAGACATGGGTCTATCTGCAGTCTTCTACACTCCCTCATCCAATTGTGCCAGCACCATTTGCTGAAGATGCTGTCCTCCCCCCATTGTATTCTTTTAGTTGTTTTGTCGAAAATCGGGTGTTCATAGGTGTGTGGGTTTATATCAGGATTTTTGATTCCATTCCATTGGTCTACCTGTCTATTTTTGTGCCAATATCAGGCTGTTTTCAGAACTATAGCCCTGTAGTAGAGCTTAAAGTCAGGGATGGTGATGCCTCCTGAAGTTCTTTTATTGTGCAGGGTTGTTTTGGCAAGATTGCCATGTTTACTATAAGGGGCTACCATAAATACCCTTCCTGGATAGTGAGATCAACAGCTAACTTATCCACCATCATGGAGCCCTCATCCAGTACCTGTTGGAAACAGAAGCAAACATCCATAACTAAACTAGAGTCCAGATGCAGAGGGAGAGAACAGGGCTGGGTTGCAGAAACACATAGAGACAGCTGACCCGAACAAGGAGGAGCTGACGGGCCCTCAGACTGATAGCTGGGAATCCAGCATGGGACTGACTCAGACCCCCTGATATGGGTCTCAGCTAGGGGGACTGAGCAGTCTGGGGGACCTCAGACGGTGGAACCAGGATATATTCCTGATGCACAAAAGGACCTTGTGGACACATCCCCCATGGATGGGTGCTCCCTTAACCTGGAGACAGGAGAGAAGTCCTAGTCCCTACTCCAAATGACTTGACAGATTTACATGACCCCACCTGGATGGCATTGCCCTGCATGTGGAATTGGGGTAGGGGGTTGGGAAGGGAGGGTGGTCGGGGTGCATGTAAGGGGGAAGGGGGGAGAGAGAGGGAGGAAGGAAGAGGGAACTGGGATCGACAGGTAAAATTAAAAAAAAAAGACCACATGCAAATACTTAGATTAATAGAAATGGGTTAATATTTAAGACAGAGCTAGTCAATAAGAATTGCTAGTAGCAGGCTAACAGCTTTATATCTAATACATCGTCTCTGTGTGTTCTTTGGGGCTGGCCCAGCTCTGGGACCAGACGGGCAGGAAAACCTACTTTAACAAAATGGTGCCTTCAAGGTATCTAATAAGAACTTCCACTTAAAACAAAAGTTTAAAAAGGAGTTTTAGAAACAAAAGAATAAAAACAAGCAAGGCTTTTTTGGTAGCAACATGTTTCTCAGTTGTACTCTTGCTAGAGACAAACAGAAATTTGGGCTGAGGTTTCCTGACTCAGCATAAGTGGCAAAAAACCGCAAGGCTTTTAAAGAGCTCTGCTAAGAACTTCATGGTGTGTACAAGAGTTAGCAATGGCAGTGACCACATCTCCAAGCCGGCAACATGCTGCTGGATGGCAGTTAGACCAAGGCAGTGAGCACAGCTCTCAGTTCTGGCAGTAAAAGTACCCGCAACCATCTTGGATAGACCACGACTAATACAGCTATGGCTTTCATTTGACCAATCTTGTTTACCAGAAAAAGATTCATGGCCAGAAAAAGATAAAGATTTACAATAAAGACAGATTCAGATAAAGAAAAAAATAATAAAAGGAGTAGCTGGGTGTGGTGGCACACGCCTTTAATTCCAGCACTCAGGAGACACAAGCAGATCTCTGTGATTTCAAAGTAAACCTGGTGTACAGAGATAATTCCAGGATAGATAAAAGTTACACAGAGAAACCCTGTCTCAAAAAAAAAAAATAGAAGAAGAAATGGAGTAATAAAAAGTCACATAAAGATGAACCGCACAAAAAGAATCTGTGTACTGTATGGTATTGTATTGTCTTTAAATTGTTTGACTGCTGAATAAATAATAGCTGTTAAAACAAATGCTGCTGGGTTAATCCAATTTATATATTTTTAAAATGCTTTAAATTCAAAATTTAAGTCAAAAGACAGGTTACTGGGGAAAAGGATTTCTATTTTTGTTTCCACAAAAAATGAAAGCTGTGGATTCCTTCCAGACTAACACGGTTTAATCAAGCAAGACCCACCTGTGTCCCAGGTGATCCACCATTCAAAACAGCTAGGACAAGGCAACCTTGCAGACCACTACAGCCAGGATTTCTGCGTCTTCTTAGGATCCCCTTGACAGAGCCCCTACCAGCAGGAAAAAGTTTGGAAAGAATGACACCCAAATTCCCAAATATCATTTATAAATATTTGTTTTTATTTATATGGGGTTGGTTATAGTTAATGACCACTACCTATCTCTTTAAAGGTAAAAAGGGGATTATAGTATAGATATAAATACTTTGCTTTGGAATGGATTTTCATTTATTGATACAATTTAAAGTCAATTTTGTGATAAGTATATTTTTCCTCTTGTTTAGCCAAGCAGCCCCAGGTTCAAACCTGAGTGGGGGTGTGTGTGGATGAGGTAATGACTAGCTTAAAGAGTTAAGAATCAGAGACACCGGATAGCTGTCAGCATGGCAGATTCAGTCCATACTGAATGCAGCCCATAAAGACACTTCCCTTTATTTTTTCTTATCTTCTAAGGGAAAAACACAATCCAAATGTCCAGGCATAAAATTATTCTCATTTCCTAACAATTCATTCCAGTCACAGTCGATTTTTGTTTATTTTAGAGATGAGGTCTCACACACTCATTACATTTCCTTCATTACTGAGGCTGGCCTTACGTTTTTAAGATCCTCCTGCCTCCACCTTCCAAATTCTGGGATTACAGGCTTTTGCCACCACATCTTGCTTGTCCAAAGCTGCTTTAGTGAACCTTCCTACAAATCATTTAACACTAACATCTCCCCCTGGGTAAGACAATAACTCACATTATTAACTTCACTCTAGTTCAATTACCGGTGTGTTCTTAATAGTCTTTGGCTAAATGGCACTAACATTGGCATAAGCAACTTAGATTGGATCATTCTTTAAGATGGAAAAAAAATGAGAATGATCAGTGATGAGGTTGACCGATTCTGCTACCCTGTTTGTCCAACCTAAACGGGAGACATTGTTAACCATGGTTGGATAACCATGGTTGGATATGCCAGGTTGAACTTTTGTTTCCTCAGCCCTAATTGTTCTCCCAATCTCTATAAGGGTTTTAGTGATTGGCCATGGGATCCAATACATTAACAGCTTCATTTATACTATAACAAGGAAAGAACTGAAAGTATGCATGTGTGGTAGACCGTTTTCTAAGCTTTGGCTGACCACAAACAATTCTCCTGCCTCTGTTGTCCATTTGCTGGGATTGCAGATGCATGCCACCATATCCAGCTACTTCATTTATGTTTTTGTGGTGTTGTACATGTGCCCTACCACTCAATCACCCCCACCCCCACCCCCAGATCTTCATTGACTTTCTATTTTCTACTTATTATTATTGTATGGGCACATGAGAGCTATTGTGTGTGCCTGGGGGGTGTGGTGTACATCAAGGCTCACGGGTGAGTAGGTTTTCCTTCCTCCATAGGTTGTCAGGTCCCACCCTGAGACATGTTTTGTTTTGTTTTGTTTTGAGACAGGGTCCCTGTTGTAACCGTGATTGGCTTAAAATACCCTATGTAGACTGTTGTAATCCAGATAAACGTGTCCCGGCCTCTCACTCCTCTGCACATCCTGGCCCTTTAAGAGGAAAACTCCATCTACCCTCTCTCTCTTTCTGTACCTCTGGAGGCAGACAAATCCCTGCCTAGCTCCCCTGCCCGCCTCTTTTTCTCCATCTGTCTCTTTCTCCCCCTCTCCCTCTCTTCTTCTGTCCTCTCTCTGAGGCAGCTCTCTCTGTGTTCCCCTCTGATTCTATTTATCTCTTCTCTCTTTTCTTCCCTTATTTTCTTCCCTCCCCCTCAATAAAACTTTCCTTATAGCCAGGGCTGCAGGACTCTTTCTCCAATCTGCCCACTGTGGGACCTGCTGGTCGGTGCCACTATTGTGCCCACCAAGAGACATAGCAAAGCTTCAAGGAGCCAGCAATGCCTGAATGCAAACACAAGAAGGTGTTTATTTCGAAAAAACAACCAGCTGGTGCTCCACTCTATCGGGAGATTTGAAGCCAGGAACTATAAATGCAAGGCATTTTTAAAGAGCAAAAAACAGGAAATGGGTCGGGAGACCCCTGATCTCAAGTCATAAGGTTTCCATGGTTACAGAGATTTCTTAGTGCTCAAGGTTACAAAGTTTCCATACAAGGTAATTGAGAGACAAAGAGTATTTTGCAAAGATGCCTTAACTGTAGTCTACTCAGGCAGGGTTGATGAACACATCCTGGGGTCTGGGAGAAGTTATCTAGTTCCCTGTTTCTTTAAGGACATCCTGGGGTCTGGGGGATTTACAACCTGCCAGGTAGAGAGGCAACCTGGTTCCCAGTTTTCCTAAGAGACAATGGGGTGGGAAGAGATGTTTACACAGTTGGTGATGAGCTCAGGCTCCCCTCTTCTTGTAGGAACTGCTCTTCCCTTGGCAAAGCCTAGAGTCAGGGGTCCCTTGCTTAGTTGGGGTCTTTTTAATTTTTCTCATTACAGCCACCACCCATTGCAGTCACCTTCTGGAAGTATTCCTAACATTCGCTCCATATTATTCCTAATGTAATCCAAAGTGACCTCGAACTCAAAGAGACCCTCCTGCCTCTGCCTGGGAGTACTGGGATTAAGTGTGCCAGTATGCCCTGCTCCGCCTCTAGATTTTTAAAAGTTCATTTATTCCTCACTTCAAAAATACTTTTATTATCCTATTTTACTAGAGAAGAAACAGAGGCGTATTTTTTTTTTCTTGGACACGGTCCATGTAGACCAGGCTGGCCTAATCCACGCTACATAGTCAAAAGCCAGCCTCGAACGTTTGGTCATCATAGCTGGGAAGATAGTCATGAGCAGCACCACGCCCAGCTGAATATTCTGTGTCGGGGATTGGGACCTAGGAGCATGTGCTATAAGGTGACTTGACCACAGGCAATTCGCAGAGTACACCGCCAGCCATCTTCCTTGTAGTCCATTAAGAACCACAACTCCCGGCATGCCTCACGACAGCAGCCCAATATACACAACAAATCCCGACGTGTCTTTGGGCGGTCAGGAGTGGAGGGTTCTAGAAGGCGTGACGTGGGGGGTCGAAGCGGGCTTGGAGGCGGGTTTTCGTGGTCGGCGGCTGTGGCCGCCACTACGGGACCTCGGAATATACTAGCGACTGGCGCGGCAGACGTAGCCTCGTCTCGAAAGTCATGGCGGCGCTCGGCCGGCCCTTCAGCGGCCTCCCTCTGAGAGGCAGCGCGGACTTCCTGCAGCCGCCGCCGGCCTTCGCGGGCCGGGCCTTCCCGCCAGGAGCCACCGGCCCTGACCTGGCCCTGCGGCCGGGAGTCCGCGTTGCGCCAAGCAGCCCGGGCGGGAGAACAGCTCGCGGACGGTGAGGACCAGGTGGGGCGGGCCCGTTAACCCCGCGGGACGTTAACCGTGAGCCCCGGGTCCCAGGGCCGGCGACCCACAGAGGGACCTTCGGCCTGGCCGCTCCCCTGTACGCGCGGCCGCCGGCCGGGACAACTTTGGGAACCTCCGGGACACTGCGGTTCCTCATTGGCAGTGTGGGGACAGAAATGGGTCCTGGAGCGAGTGATCAACGGTCACTGCCCCGACAGAAGTGACAACTTCAGATTTCCTTGTCTGGTTATTTGGAGACCTCCGCAAGACGTGACTTGATCTTGGGAACTGTGCAGGTCTCTCACGACCACAGAAGGGATATGCAATTGCGGCGCGAGATCCCGATAAGTAGAGCGACAACGATGGAATGCAGAAACCGTAAATTTAAGTTCCTGTCTTGGTTGACTAATTTGTTTTTGTTTGTTCCAACAGTGTTCCCATTCACTGTAGAAAGAAACACAAGCGATTGGTGGAGGATGATGAGTAAGTTTCGGGACCATTTGCCCTCTGTATGATGGCTGTTAGTTTAACACGTGTATCCTATTTTAAGTGGAAAAGGTAAAGCATATTGTATCTCTTTAAACTAGTGACATTGTTTGCCTGTTAGGGGCAGGAACTGGATGTCAAGCAGGTAGAGGAAAACTCACTCTGTAACCAACGTAGTGTTTGAATTTTAAATTGTCATTATAGACACAGAGTTTAAAACAAAACAAAAAGAAAATCAAAGGATATATATTGGAAAGGTAACCTTGTAGCCCATTTCTTACTTTTAGAAAAATAGTTCAGAAACTTAAAAGTTATGAAGATGTGCTTCAGTTGTTTACTTCTGTAGCTAGATACCTATTCACACCACCATCCGTGGGGGTGGGGGTTGTTTCCTTTTACTTTCTTGCCTTATTCCAAGGTCTACCTGTTGTTTGTTGTTGGTTTTGTTTTGTTTTAAAAGACAGCCTCACTATGTAGCCCTGTGTAGTCTGGAACTCACTATGTAGAGCAGATAGGTCTATAAGAGATCTGCTTGCCTCTGCCTGTTGAGATTAAATACCAGCATGTTTCAATACCTGTTTTGTTTGTATGTTTCCTTATTATTATGATGATGATGATGTATATGAACAAATGCCATGGTGGGATGTGGAAGTTAGAGGACATTTGGAAGTTGGTTCTCTCCCACCATGTAGTTCCAGAATCAAGTTCAAATTGTCAGTTTGGTGGCAAACATCTGTACTCACTGAGCCATCTTGCTTTTTGTTTTCCTGTATTAAGGATCAAACCTTGGGCCTGGCAGATGCTTGGCAACTGTTCTCCTGTTTATTCTATTCTAGCTTCATTTATTCTAAGCCCTGCCCCAGATAGGGCTTAGAATAAATTCTGTATGATCCTACCTCTAACCCCTAGTAGAAACTGAGTTCTGAGGATGATGGCTCACTCAGGTAATTCCAGCACTATGAGGCTGATATCACCAAGAGCTTGGGGTCAGCCATGGGCCATATGAAACAAGCCAGTAATCTCAGCTCTTGGAGGAAGGTCAAAGCAGGAGGATCGGACATTCAAGGTCATCCTCAGTAACAGTACTGACTTGCAGCCAGTTTAGGATATATAAGACTCTGGCTTAAAAATAATTAAAAGAAACTTTGAATTGACATTTGGAGGTTACCTTATTTTTTGTGAGTGAGTTGAAGGTAGGAGGGACACAGAAATCAGTCTTGGATGTCATTTCTTAAGTATCATCCATCCTTATTTTGAGGCAAGGTCTCCCCTGTGCTGTCAAGTATGTGGAGGCCAAAGGTTGACATCCAGTATCTTGCTCAGTCATTCTTCATGTTATATTTTGAGGTGGAGTATCTCACTTGAACCCAGAACTTGCATTTGCTTGCTCTATGAATCCAGTCTCCTCCTGAGCCCTATAATTACAGTGGGCTACCATGCCTACCTGCCATTTACACATACACTCTTTTTTCATTCTAGCCAGCATGTGATTTCATCCATTGAACCCTCTCCCTAGCTGCCTGCCTAGTTTTTAAGGCAAGGTTTCTCACTGGCTTGGAGATCACCATGTCAGCTGAGGTGAGGGGGTCGAGCAGAGCCCAGGGATATTTCTATCGTTGCCTCTCTGCTAGTATTATGAGTCACCAAGCTTTGCTTTATGTTGGTTCTGGGTCTTCATACTTTCCTGACAAGTGCTCTTCCCACCAAGCTGTTTCCCCTAATCCAAAGAGTTACCTTAAATTAAAAACCTAGGTGATGGAGTTTGTTGCCTTAGGGTTGCTATTAAAGAAAAAAAAAAAACTTTTTTTTGTCTTGTAGTGCTCTAGATTGTTTTTTATTCACTCTAGTGTTTGCTTAAAGTGTAGAAACTAAGCCAGGTGTGGCAGCATACACCTTTAATCCCAATGTCTGGGAGGCAGAGGCTGGCAGATCTTGAGTTAAAAGGCCAGCGTGGTCTGCAGAGTGAGTTCCAGGACAGCCCTGGCAACACAGAAATTCTGGGAGGTGGGGGTAGGGTAGAAACTTTTAATTTAAAAAGTTAACTACCTTTGATTTGTGGAGAGATTGAGGGGGTTGTCCAGATGTGAACTGCTGAGCTTGCCACATTGTTCTCAGTATCTAGAAGCCTTTCTTTAAAATTTGTATGTGCATTCAGAGTATATGCTAATGTTTAGAACCCAGAAGGTGTTGGTTTCCCTGGAGCTGGAATTGCAGGTCGTTGTGAACCACCTAATGTGGGTGCTGGGAACTGAACTTGGGTCTTGTAAAAGCTATGTATGCTCTTAACTAATGAGCCATCTCTCCAGCACTTAGAAGCCTTTTAATTCTTTGGTTTTTTGAGACAGTGTTTCTCTGTATTGCTTTGGAGCTAACTGTATAGACCAGGCTGGCCTTGAACTCAGATCCGCCTGCCTCTGCCTCCTCCCGAGTACTGAGTTTAAAGTCATGTGCCATCACATTTTCTTAAGAGCTTAATCACTATCGATATTCAGTTATTAGCAAAGTAAGCCTACAGACATGAAATAACCTAAAAGTGAAGAACTATTTCATAGATGAATTGTTAGATGCTCTGGGAAACTTCCTATTCTCTCTCAATTTATGCTTTTTCTTAGCTGATTTTTTTTTTTTTTTTTTTTTTTTTTTTTTGTAGGTATGTACCACCACACCCAACTTGAAGGGTTTTGTTGTTGTTGTTGGGGATTTTTGATGTATCTCAGTCTTGTCCTAGAACTTTATAGCTGGCTCTTGGCCCTAAACTCCTGCTTCTTGTCTCCTAGATATTTCTAGTACCTTCTTCTTAGGTTTTTTTGTTGTTGTTTTGTTTAAAGTTTTTTGAGACATGGATTTTCTGTGTGTCCCTGGCTGTCCTGGAACTCACTTTGTAGACCAGGCTGGCCTCCAGCTCACAGAGATCCTTGCTGCCTCTGCCTCTCAAGAACTGGGATTAAAGGTGTGCATCACCAGTGCCTGGCTACTAGTACTTTCTAATGAGGTAAATTTTTAAATCAAACACAGTAGATTGTAATTTCTTCCAAATACAGGTTCAAGAGGGCAGTACTATCAGACTTTTACATTCCAGAAATGTAAAATTGATTTTCACAGTGTTAAGATGGGTTAAAACTTTTCTCTTATAAACATGTTTATTCATTTCCTTTGACCATCAGTTTAATTAATGAATGGGCATTTTGGTTATATAGCTGTGATCTAGCCTTAATGCTGTACACACTGCTGCTATTCATTAGAGAGTGTGTGGTCTAAACACTTTAAAAGTCTTCCTTGCTGCTTACTGCTTTTAGCTAGCAGTGTATACATCATAGTGCTGATACATACAAGCTTATGATAAACACTTTAACAATTAACTTCCTCTCTAAAATTATAGAGGTAGAACTCTGTTCTAATCAACATTTAACTTTCCTTTACTGGGGCACTTTGGAAGGGTCAGCTGATACGTTTCCAAGTATCTCCAAAAGGAAGGAGCTGGGTTTGATGAATTCCAAGTTCTCTCTTAAATACTAAGGCATCTAGGAAGTAATGGGGTATGTTACACTAGGAGAAAGGGAGATCCCACCATCAGTCGGACAGATAGCCAAAGGCAAGAAATTGGTGCTTGTGGTACTTGAAGCATACTATGGTAGACAGGTGTGTTTGCTGTAAGGAATTAGAGGGTGAAAGCCAGACACATTCTCGTGTGGGTCAGGGAATGTGATGCTGAAGCAATGACAAAATGTAGTTGGGGCAGAATTGCTGCTTTGACTTTTTAGTGTGTATTGGTGTTCTGCCTGTGTGTATGTCTGTACCAACCAGGTATATGCCTGATGCCCTTAGAGGCCAGGACAGTGTAGAATTCCCTGGGACTGGAATTACAAACATTTGTGGGTACTGGGGATTAACCTTGTGTCCCCACATCCACTGGAAGAACAGCCAGTGCTCTTGATTGCGGAGCCACCTCTCCAACCCACTTTTTTAATTACCTTGCTTCCCACTTAATTTTTCCTATAGACTTTTTTCCTTTAAAAGGTTAAAGTCTTGGAGGTGCTGCATAAATTGAAAAAAATAGAAGAAAATTTCTCAGAGAAGCTATTGTGGGGGGTTGGGGGAACACATGATGTTCTAGCTGTAGAATAAAGTAGAGATTTTTATATTTAATAATTTAATTTAAAAAGAGTAATAATAAATTGGGGCTGGAGAGATAGCTCAACAGTTAAAAACACTTGTTCTTGCAGAAGACCCTCAGATTCAATTCTAAGCACCCACATGGTTATTCACAGATGTCCATAACTCCAGTTCTGGGGGGTCTGAGACGTTTTCTAACTGCTATTAGCCACACACATGGTATACATATGTGCAGGAAGAACACTCAAACATAAAATAAATACATTTTTTTTTTTGACTAAATAAATTTGAACTGGGCACGGTAGCATGTATCCTTCTAATTGACTAGAGAAATTACTTAAATTTCATTTGTAATGGAGTTTTTTTTTTTTTTCTTCCCTCTCTTCCCACCACTCTCTGCCTTCCTCCTCCTAGGTGTCCAGTAAGAAAGAAGAGACTGACTGAAGCTGAACTCTGTACGGTTACTAATGAGTGGGTTCTCGACACACACCAGGGCATAGAGGATCACGGGGTCAACACATGTCCCAGTGGCCTTTCTGTGCCCAGCATGCTAGACGCTGTCTGTGAAGAAATGGATCAAACAACTGCAGAACCGCAGTGTGAAGTTGCCCGAAGGAGGCTTCAGGAGATTGAGGACAGGTATTGACAGTGGGATGCAAGCTTGCTGCTGCTCCTGTGTCACGGTTCTCTTAAGATGATCCAGAGCATCATTTGATGATTGTAATGCTTCTTTTTTTTTTTTTTTCCTTGTTTTTATTGAGCTATACATTTTTTTTTTCTTCATTTCCTTCCCTCCTCCCCTCCCTCCCCCTCACTCCCAGTTTACTCGGAAGATTTTGTCTTTTCTCCCTTCCTAGGCAGATCCATGTATGTCTCTTCTTAGGGTCCTCTTTGTTACCTAGGTTCTCTGGGCTCGTGAACTGTAGGCTGGTTATCCTTTGCGTTATGACTAATATCCACTTACGAATGAGTACATAACTATGTTTGTCTTTCTGGGTCTGGGTTACCTCTCTCAGTATGGTTTTTTCTAGTTCCATCCATTTGCCTGCAAATTTCAAGATGTGATTATTATCTACTACACTCTTTTGTGTTAATGTTATCACATTTTCTTAATCCATTGGTTGAGGGGCATCTAGGTTGTTTCTAGGTTCTGGCTATGACAAATAATGCTGCTATAAACATAGTTGAGCGAATGTCCTTGTGGTGTGAGTTGCATCTTTTGTGTGTATGCCCAAAAGTGATAATGCTGGTCCTTGAGGTAGATTGGTTCCCAATTTTCTGAGAAACTGCCATACTAATTTCCAAAGCACTGTACAAGTTTGCACTCCTACCAGCAACGGAGGAGTGTTGCCCTTTTTCCACATCCCCTTCAGGATAAGCTGTCCTCAGAGTTTTTGATCTTGGCCATTTTGACAGGTCTAAGATGGTATCTCCGAGTTGTTTTGATTTGCATTTCTCTGATGGCTAAGGATGTTGAGCAGTTCTTTAAATGTCTTTTAGCCATTTGAGTTTCTTCTGTTGAGAATTCTATTTATCTCTGTACTCTATTTTTTTAATTGGATTATTTGATATTTTGATATCTAGTTTGAGTTCCTTTTATATTTTGGAGATTCACTTGAGCAGTGTTCAATTTCATTGAGTTTGTGGGCTTTCTGCAATTAGTGTTATTGAATTCTAACTTTAAGCCATGGTGATCTGGTAAGACAGGGGATTGTTCCTTTTTTTTTTTTTTTTTTTTTTTAATCTGTTGAGGTTTGCTTATCGACTATGGGCTTGATTTTAGAAAAGGATCATTGGGGTGCTGAGAAAAGGGTATATTCTTTTGTGTTTGAGTGGGGTGTCCTATAGATATTTGTTAAGCCCATTTGAGTCAATAACATCTTTTAGTTCCTTTATTTCTCTGTTAAGGTTCTATCTAGAAGACCTGTCCAGTGGTGAGAAGGAGGTATTGAAGTCTCCCACTGTTAGTGTGTGGGACTTGATATTTCATTTAAGCTTTAGAAATGTTTCTTTCACAGATGTGGGTACTCTAGTATTTGGGGCATGAATGTTCATAATTGAGACTTGATCTTGATGGAGTTTTTCTGTGGCAATATGAAATGTCCTTCATCTCTTGACTAATTTTAATTTGAACTCTATTTTGTTAGCTATAAGGATAGAAACAGCTTGTTTCTTAGGTCCATTTGATTGGAAAATCTGCCAAACCTTTACTCTCAGGTAATGTCTGTTTTGAAGTTGAAATGTGTTTCTTGATGCAGCAAAAGGATCCAATCTGTTAGACTGTGTCTTTTTATAGTCTGATTGAGTCCATTGATATTAAGGGGTATTAATGACAAGTGATTGCTAGTTCCTGTTATTTTTGGTGGTGGTGGTGGTATTGAGTATGTGTGTTTCCCTTCTTTGGGATTTACTGGTGTGGAATTTCCTGTTGCCTGTATTTTTGTGGGTGTGGCTAACTACTTTGGGTTGGAGTTTTCCTTCTAGTACTTCTGTAGGCTGGATTTGTGGGTTGGTTTTGTTTAAATCTAGTTTTGTCATAGAATATCCTATTTTCTCCATCTGTGGTGATTTATTGCTTTGCTGGGCTGGCATCCTTGGTTTCTTAGTATCTGCATAATGCCTGACCAGGACCTTCTGGCTTTCATTGTTTCCATTGAGAAGTTGGGTATAATTCTAATAGGTCTGCCTTTATATGTTACTTGACCTTTTTCTTTTGTAGCTGTTAATATTCTTTATTCTGTATGTATTTTGATTATTATGTGGAGAGGGGACTTTTTTCTTTTGGGTCAATCTATTTGGTGTTCTGTAAACTTCTTGTACTTTCATTGGCATGTTCTTTAGGTTGGGAAAGTTTTAAAGTTTTCTTCTGTGATTTTGTTGAATATATTTTCTATGCCTTTGAACTGGACTACTCATTCTTCTATCCGTATGATTCTTAGGTTCAGTGTTTTCATGGTGTCTTGGTTTTTCAAGACAGGGTTTTTCTATGTTGCTTTGAAGCCTGTCCTAGAACTAGCTTTGTAGACTATGCTGGCCTTGAACTCACAGAGATCTGCCTGCCTGTGCCTCCCAAGTGCTGGGATTAAAGGTGTGTGCTACCAACACCCAGCTAGATTTAAACATTTTCTTTGACTGATAGAATATCTCTATCATGTCTTGAATGCCTGAAATTCTTTCTTTCATCTCTTGTATTCTGTTGTTTATGCTTGATTTTGTAGTTCCTGATCGTTTACCCAAATTTTCCATTTCAAGGGTTTCCTCACTTTGTGTTTTCTTTATTGCCTCTATTTCAGTTTTTTTTAAGTCTTGAACTATTTCTTTCACTTGTCTGATTGCTTTTTCTTGGTTTTCTTTAATAGATTTGTTGATTTCTTCCCATTTTTTTTTTTTCTTTTCCTCCTTCTGTAAGGGAATTTTTTATTTCCTCTATAAGGGCCTCAGTCATCTTCATAAACTTATTTTTAAGGTCATTTTCTTCTGTTTTATCTGTGTTGGGATGTTCAGTCTTGCTATTGTAGAACCACTAGTATCTGGTGGTGCTGAATTGTTGAGTGTGTTCTTACACTGTTGTCTACACATATCTTCAATATAGGTGGAGCCTGTGCTATGCACAGGCAGGACTGAGGCTCAGGTTCTGGTGGTTGGATAGTTTTTGGAGGCGTGGTCCTGAAAATATTAAATAGTAGAGCGAGTTCTTATAGCTTAATTAATCATTTTACTGGCAATGGCAGGGTTAGCCCTCCAGGACACATGTTTTCTGTTATGTGAATTACTGAATAACTCTTCCCGTTATGTTGGAAAAAGTGGCCTCATGTGGTAACTTTTCTCTGAGGTATACCTTACTTATTTTTCACTATAGCGCCTGTGATTTTACTCTTTGGATTTTAAACTTTGTTGATTTACGATTGGTGTTCATTGCAGGAACACCAATACCTTGACTAATTTTTTTTTTTTTCTTTCTCTGCTTCTGCTTCATTATTTTTTTAGGATAATTGACGAAGATGAAGAGGTTGAAAGTGACAGAAATGTTAGCCACCTCCCAAGTCTTGTCCTTTCTGACACAATGAAAACGGGTTTGAAGAGGGAATTTGATGAAGTCTTCACAAAGAAGATGATTGAGTCTATGTAAGTTATGGTGCATAACATTTCCCCTTAACTGATCCAATACCTGGGAAAGGGTTCTCCTCTTAATTCATACAGGAGAAATAGGGACCACATTTTGAAACCTCTGGTTTATCTGTTTCTCTAAATTACTTGGACACAGCATGGAGACCTAGGTAACAGAAAATGACATGTCAAATGAGTAACAATTGAAATAGTTATCACAAAGCCCACAAACCATAACACAGCCTTTTGGGACCACTTTGGAATATTTAGCTCGTTTTGTTTAGGGAGTGGGAATGTTACTGTGTAGCCTAAGCTAGGTTCAAATTCACCATCTTGCTGCCTCCACTTCTTTAGCTCTTGATTTCAAGTATAATTTAAGCCAGGCATGGTAGTTTATGCAGTTAATCCCAGCAACACTCAATAGGCAGAGGTATTAGTTTCTAGCCTGTCTGAGCTACATAGTGAGATTTTTGTCTCAATAAAAGGGGGGGGATGATAAACAATCAAATGATAACATAGATTTAAGATGAAAACAAAAAAAAAAAAAAATAGGTAGTAGGGTGACTCATGATGAAGTACTTGCCATGCACCTGGGTTCCATCCTCAGCAACACAAAGAAAAACAGAAAATAAGTTCTATAGCTCAGTTAACTGGTTTGTTGTATTTTCAGAGTAAAAACACAGAAACAGCAGGTGAGAAAACAGGCAGGCTTAGGGTAGGGACTAGTGACTAAGGGGAGAGGTTGAGGGAGGAAACAGGGCCGCAAACACAGGAGCCTGCCAAGCAAAGTGGCAGACTGGAGAAGAGCTCTGCCTAGTGTGGAAGGTCTCAGTTCTCAACTGCTATGCAGAATAACAGGCAAGCTATAAAGTACATGGAAGTACTGCCTGGGAAACCTAGACTTAATACGCGCTGAGGGTAAGTTTAGACTGAAAAGGGCTCTTGGGACCCAGACCTCAATAGTGCTGGGCACAGGCAGAGTGAGGGCAGTTCAGCTACTGCTTGTGGGAGAGGCAGAGGGTTTTCCAGTCAGGCCCTAGCTTAAGTTTATGATTAACTACTCAGCCCTGAGGGTGTGTAAATAGTGTAGCCACTATGAATGCAGGTCGTCCTGCTCAAAGTAGTGTCTGCTGCTCTTAGTAGTTTTCCAGAATGGGGCCTTTGAGACTATACTTCATTGTAACTTTTTTTTCTTTTTTATTTCTGGATCCCAGAAGATTTTCTATATTCAGGGTAAGGAATTTTTTTCTGTTTTGGAGATAAGATAGGTTCTCATGTAGCCCAGGCTAGTCTAAAACTTCTGGCCCTCCTGCCTGCACATCCCAAGTACTAGAATAACAGACACTATTCCCAGCCATGGATGGGAAAAACACATGATTATACTTATCTAGTATAATTGTTTGGTTTAACTGCAAAGCATTCTACTTCATAACTATATGAAACAGTTCATCAGAAATTAATATGCTGATCCAGGATTTCTTTTTTATTTATAATGATTTAATATACAAGTCACCCACAAGGCTAGGGAAATAGGGTAGTACTAGAACAGTTTGCTCAGTACCACAAATCAAAACAAAAAACTGTAGTCATGCAAATCTATTCATTAAGAAGGTGTCTGTGTGTGTTATTATAGCTAGTGATGTAGCTCGGCCTTATATGAGGAGGCCTTAGTTCCACTCCTAATTGTAGTATTAAATTAAATCTGGGGACCTTCTTTCTTTGTTTTTGTTGTTTGAAACAAGACGTCTCTGTATAATCCTGCTATTCTAGAACTCCATATGTAGATGTGGCTAGTCTTCCGGCCTCTATCTCCTGAGTGCTAGAATTAAAGGCGTGTACCATTACAACCCGCTGAAGGGCCTGGTATTTGCTTGGATGTTTGTATTGCTGCTATTTGTGATTTAAAATATAATAGGGCTGGTGATATCACTAAGAAGTGGGACCACTTAAATGTGTGAGGGCCTGGCTTCAATCTCTAGCACATCAGAAAAGATAATTACATATGGAACTGTGAAACTTTACGTATTTGAGGACTTGGGAATAATACTCACTCCTAGAAGATGTAGTGCTCTTGCAGAGGACTGGAGTTTGATTCCTGACACCTACATCTGGTGGCTCCAGGGGAACTTAAGCTTCTAGCCTCCTTAGTCACCTACTGCACATGTTCATATCCCCATACAGACACAAACACACATCCACATGATTTTTTTTTTAATTTAAGTCCAGTTTGAATTCTCCTAAACATCTCTAGCTCTCTTTTAAAACTACAAAACATGAGTAGCTTCACAATTTGTGTATCCTTGTACAGGGCTATGCTAACCCATATCATTCCAAGTTTAGTATATCTGCTGCTGAAGTGAACACTTTATCTTTTTTCAATTAAGAGAATTTATATAATGAGAACTGATGAAACACATCAAGATCAAAATAACAGTGAAACCATACAGTAGGTAAATGGGTAGAGATACAAAAGTACAGCAGAGAATGGCACTTTGAGGGCCACTAGATCTTAACTGGAAGGTGTTAAGTAGTGAGTGGGAGCTTGTTGATAGAGATTTGAATGTCCTAAAGTTTTTTTTTATAGAAATCTGTATTTCACATCTCAGGAGTCGTCCTTCTATGGAACTTGTACTCTGGAAACCTCTCCCTGAACTCCTTTCTGAGAAGCCAAAGCCATCGTCTAACCCTAAGAACTACATGGGAGAGAGCCAAACGAAACGTACAGTTGCCGGCACTGCCTTTCCTCAGAGAACTGAAGTGTTGCTGGAACCTCGGCACACAGACACGCCACTTTACCATAGTCTGGAGACAGCTGCTGGTACAGAGGAAGAGATGGAGCTCTAGAGACCAGTTCTGCTCCAGCTTGGCAAGTTCTAGAAGGCTCCTGTGTTCAGTAATGAGCCTGCCTGTATAGTATAGGGACCTGAAAGTTTTATGAAACGGGTGTAATATCTCCACCTGTGATTTGGGGTGGGACTGTCACTGTGGGTAGCCATTTATTGAATTCAACTTTTTGCCAAGGAAGCTTATCTCAAAGGAAATGCAGTTTTCTAGCAGGCTTATCCAAGAAATGTTACAGTTTCTTTAAAGACAACCATAGACGCTGGATGTGTTACAGTGACTGAAGTCATCTGTCACATGTTGAAGCCATTCATTCTTAAGATGCTTATAAAGAGGAATGCTCCTAATTCCCCTGCACCCTGACAGCTGAGTCATGTATTGAGCTTCTGGTAGTGGTAACTGTACACATCAGGAGCGGGAGGGAAGAAAGCAGTAGTTTGAGTCTCTTGCAAAGGAATTAAACAGGCAAGGAAACGTGTGTTGGCTTCAGGTCCGTGTAGCCATTATTACTCAAGCAGTAGCCATTGGTCTGCTTTAATGACTGATAAGCTCAGTTGGTCAGTGATGTTTACACCTCAATTAACTTTAATTGATTAAAACAGTGTGAGGTAACCTTTCTGTAAATTGTCTGTGAAAGAAGTGTCTTTTCATGAATCTTGAGGACAAACAGTGTCAGCCAAACCCAGCATTGATAGCTTCTAGAGTTTAAAAAGGGAAGGTTGTACTTGTATCAGCAGGTTGAATTTTTTAATGTTGGATTTGAAAACAGTGAATTAGCTGAGAATAAATGGGCAAATATCTTGGAGGTTTACTGAAATAGCTCATTGTCTTGTGCTTAAGTTATCGACAGTAAGCCTAAAATTTAGTGGAAGATGGCCTCCTACCAGCAGGAAATCTTTACCCTTTGAGTACCAGAACCAGGCTCAAGGTTTTCTTTGGGAATAACCAGGGTAAAAGTTTTTAATTTCTCAGGAAGAGCTCTTCAGCATGGCAGGGTGTGTAATGAAGGCTTGGCAACTCCTTCAGTGCTGTAGAGTAGTCCATGTAAGATAGCAGGGGGGAGTATGGCACCTCTTCCACAGCAGAGCACCTCAGTTCAGTTTTCACTTTGTGGGTTTCTTCTTCCTTTGTAGGGGAAAAATGAAAAGGTTTATGCTGAGTAGAGGTGAATTTTTTAGAAATTAGCTTCCAGGCATTTTGCAGCCCATGCGGAAATCCCTCCCATGGATGGCATAGGAGTCATAGTCTGTTCAGTGGACTTCTTGCCTATTGTTCTTGCTCTCTCTGTTTCTGTCTGGATGTCAGGAAAAGATTTAATGTTTAATATTTAAACAAAATAGTTATGTCTACACAATAAAATTGCTCAAGCTTCGAAACCAGTATTGAAACCAGTTGGAAACCAGCTAATTGTTTCTTCATCTCAGACTCAGAGGTGAAAGAAAACGGTCTTCTGTTGAAATGTGCAAGTGTTTAACTCATGTCACTTGAAAACTCCTAGCTTGTTTAATGGGACCAACTAGTAAAGTTTATATATAGCCTTAAAGAATTCTCTGTGCCAGGGAGTTTTAGTACAGTGTAGAAGCAAACTGCCCAGAGTTTGGAGTTAGCCAGTGTGAGAATGGGAAGGAAGTGGCAGCTTTCCAAAAGGCACAGAACACCAGGCAGGACTGCCTCTTATCAATTTGGTAACCACTGGAGAGAAGATATGGTTTTTAACAAAGAACAGAACTCTTCAGGAGCCCTTATCTGACATGATCTTTATTTCTGCAGGAAAGTGATGTTTCACAGTCGTTTTTGGACTTACCTTCTTTCACATGTTTGTACAAAAATCATCCCTCTTCATCCTTGTGGTGCTGACTCAACAGACTGTCTCCACAGCCCCGATGCCTCTGCAGTCTATTTCCTTTTCTAGCATAAGCCTTTTGCTTTGCCTTAAGGTTTTCCTAAAGAATTAACAGGTCTTTCCATCTTGTATAGTTTTTGGAACATGGATCAGACATTGGCTCAGTATGCTAATGTATGAAGGTCAGCAATTATCTAAAGCAGGTGAGCTTCAATGAACAAATGTGTTTCTCTGAGTTTGAGGTGGGTGTGTTTGGGGGATGTTTATTTTTTAGGTTCTTGGTTTGGTTTTTTTGTTTTGTTTTTGTTCTTAATATGAAATATGAGAATCTAGTTCTCATAATTTAAATCAGTTAAAAAGTGCTCATTCTTGAAAAGATTAAAAAAAAATGTAAAATTTAGAAACAAGTAGGACAGGACTTAGAATAACTGCAAGGGGAACATTAACTAGAAGGTCCATTTGCTACTCTGGATCTGGACCCTGACTTTAATAGTAACAAGAATAGTACAGAACTCAGAACATTCTGGAAGATGGTGTCAATTTTACTTTAAAAATGAGAACCTGGTTTTTCTGTATTTTATTATTTTCAATAAAAGTCAAGTGTTTTGAACTGTTTAAAGTATCTGTAATCCTGTACACATGGAAATGAAATAGTTTTGTTTTGTTTTCTTGCTTTCCTTTAAATTTTAATTAAGGCAGCATTCCTATCAGTGAAAAACTTGTCCTGAAATTTGATCCTGTTAGGTTAAAAGTGAGCTGCTTGTAAAGTCTTTGTAAATATGCCAACTGCCTATGAGTCACTTCTGGGGACCATGCAATGCTGCCCCCTGTGACTGATTCTTTAGTGTCCATATGTGGAACTGGAGGGCTTAGAACCTTTAGAGATAGATTAGGCAAGGTCTGTGATGTTGGTGCATGTTGTTCCTTTGCTAAGAGCTGACAGGTCACTGGGTGGCAGTATTGCCTGCATATTTGCAGTGTTCTTTGATAACCAGATCTCTGAATGGTGAGGCAAGGAGTTTTATCTTTGGGTTGCAGTTGCAGAAAACAAGATGCTATTTTATTTTAACCAAATTTTGAAAACCATGGTAAAAGAAATCTAACGTAACAGGATGAAAATAAATATTAGAATAGATGGTGACAGTTCAGTATCTAACCAGCTCATTGGATCCAGGGTTTGAGTACAAGATGAATAGATAATCAAGGAAATGTAAGTTTATGTGTATTGGTTTGGTTCTCTGTTAGTCACCTAGTTCCTCAGACTAGCAGTGGTATTTTAGAGATGCATTTTGAACAGTGCTGAAACTTCAGACTCCTGCAAGATGCTGCTGATGTTGACTTCAGCACTAGTTTGGGGGTAAGCCAGTCATCCTACTTCGTGAATGATAGGAGTCAAGAGGGTTGCTAGGGAAGAGAGAGTTTTCTTCAATGCTATAGCCACTGGTAAGTTGCCTATGCTACAGTAAACCATTACCTACCCGTGCTCATACAAGCAACCTTAATTAAATTCAGTGGAATACATTCATACAAGATAGAAGGGGGCCATTATTGGGAAGAGAGGGTTCAATGGGAGGAAGGGAGATGAAGATGATGGGGGGTAAATATGATTAAAACACATAAATAGGAGATTGTCAAAGAACAAATATATTTTTTTTTTAGGTCAGAAGAGTAAAACATAATCCCAGCATTTGGGGAGGTGGATGAAGGAAGACTCCCAAGTTCAGAATCATTGTGTGCTCACCATTTAGTTTGAGCTCAGCCTGGGCTGCATGAGAACCTGTTTCAAACACACAGGGTCTGGAGGGGATGAGTCAGTCAGTAAGGAGTCAGTAAGGTGCTTGGCTTGCAAGCAGGATGACCTGAATTCAGATCCCTAACACTCATTTTAAAGGGGTGGGAGTGCATGTCTGTCATCCCAGCACTTGGGAAGGAGGATCCCTAGAGCTTGTTGGCCAATCAGTCTACCTGAATTTGTGAACTCCAGCTTCAGTTTGAGATCTTGTCTCAAAAAATACGGTGGATACTGATTGTACCAGATACCTGATGTTGACCTCTGGCCCAACATTTGTACCCGTAGGAATACATACCTATACATGAACATGTATACAAAAATATATCTTCTAAAGTCACAAGGGTAAAGATAGAGTGTAAGTTTCTAGGAGACAGAAATAGAACTGATACTTTGAAATACTCCTGAAGTAGGCCATGTGTCTGTTGTTTAGCTCCATCTCATCTAATAGAAAAGCAAGGAGGCATATGCATAGCTATTTTGTGAGGCCCAGGGATTTTGCCTGCAACCTTCACTTGCACCTTTGGTCTGAATTTTGATATAACACTCCATTTAATAGATTATTTGGTTTCATAAAAAGAATGTTAATTTTTAGATCTAGCCAGTTTGGGCTTTCAGTATGAAAATGTCCTTGAAAACCAGATGTCTTCTCAAAGCTGATTGTGTCATTTTTGGCTTTCTGTGGAGGAAATGAAACCCTGAAATCTCTGTGTTCTGTCCTTTTGGCACAGCAGCAACTTCTTCAATGTGATATTAAATATAAATGATTTGAGTCTTAGTCTACAAATACTTGTGCTCTTCTGGATGGAGGCAAGCATATCTTCCTGTATAAACCGTAATAGTCTTGGTCCTCCAGAGTGAAGAAGGTGAGATAGTTTTCAGTCACAGGGCAACTGTAGATAGTCATTAATGTTCACAACACTGGCACTCAGTCTAAGTGACCTTGTGTTGCTGAGCACTGGATTGGCCTGACAGATTTACTGTCCAGGTCCTATCCAGACTTGCCCTCAAGTGTTATGTGGAAACCTCTCCTGTCATAGCAGTCAACCCATGATCTGGATTTGTCTGCAGCTGTAGCCTGCCTGAGCCTGCTGACTGGATTCAGAATTCTTCTGTGAGTTTACTTTGATCACCCCAGAGTAATCTTAATTGGGAAGATATACACTTAAATGCTAAATGGGGGTGAAATTAGTTCATCTGCTTACATGGTTAAAATGAAGTTCTTTTTCATCTTTTAAGATTTCCCCAGACCAGAATGCACAGTAAAGGATGATGTCATTGTCTCTGGAGTTTGGTAGTTGATTTATACCCCTAGGCCTTTTCTTCCTGAATAGATTTGCCCATTAGTTTTGATGCTAGGGATGTAACCAAGGCCTCATGAATGCTAGACAAGCACTGCACTGAACCATACTCCCAGCCCAGTCTTGTGAAATAAGCCCCTATACTAAGATTCCATGAGGGAATTAAACCTTTCAAAGTAGATCCTGAGACAAAACTGAGCACCCAGTGCATAGAATGACACCGCTCAGATGTGAAGTACATGTGACTTAAAGTCGTGTTTGGTCTTTGAAGATAACACTGTCCCTCTTTCCAAGTTGTAATTATCTGTCCTCTTGGGTTACTCAGGTGAAACGTGTCAAGAGTTGAAACCAGGGAGTCTGATGCTCCCTGATCAGGGCAAATCTTGGTATTTGATAGCAAAGCAATAGTTGAGGAGACCCAGCTGTAGCTCAATAACATTTGCCCAGCATGCAGAGATCTTAGGTTTAATAACTCAGTACTGCCCACCTACCTACCATCACTACCAAAACAGATGGTTAGGATTCTACTTCTGCCACTTAGTAGCTGTGACATTGATCAACTGTCCTGAAGAAACTGCCTTAAAATAAAATGGAGGCATTCATGACAGGAGTTGAAGCAGGTAGTAAAGTGTAAAAGCTTTCAGTGACCTTAAAAAGTGCTGTGCGCTGGGTGGTGGTCGCGCCACACGCCTTTAATCCCAACCCAGCATTCAGGAGGCAGAGGCAGGTGGATCTCTTGAGTTTGAGGCAAGCCTGGTTTACAAAGCTACAGAGAAAAACCCTGTCTTGAGAAAACAAAAAAATAAATTATATATATTAATATAATAATAATATAAATAATAAAAAGTGCTATGCTCACTTTAGTTGGATAAATGACTCTCCTCTAGCAAACAATGAGAAAATACAGTAGCCCTAGAAATCACAGAACAAGGCTGCTGCGTTGCTTTTTTAATTGCATGGGTAGTTTTAAATAAATGGAGAAAGCACCTTCCAGAAGTTACACTAGCAAGAAGATTCCATCAAGCATTTACATAGTAAATTTCTATAATTTTACAAAGATTCTTGATCTTCACTTGAACTGTACATAAGGATAAACAAACTCCCTCAGGTTGGTGTTTGTCTGCTTGTAGAAGTAAACTAAAACCTGGGAAGCCAAGAGCAGGGAAGAGAAATGATCAAAGGCCATTCATAAACCCCATGTCCACTTTAGGACATGTCAAGAGGCAGGTGTGCAGGTGCACACCTGTGTAAGCCAGCACTTGGGAGATGGAGACAGGAGGGTCTAGAGTTCCAGCCTAGCCTCAGCTATATAGTTTGAAGCCAACCTGTCAAATGACCCTCCTTGTATTGGACAAACTACCACCTTTAAGTTAAAACAATCTTAAAAGCTGTAGTCCTGAATTACAATATTTTTGAATACCTTAGATGGCTGGGTGTCAAAAGACA